AAATTTCAAAATTAAAAACATCTGCTAATATAACGATATATATTTCTCCTCAGAGTCCTCACTATTTTATGAATAGAAAAAAACTGCATTTATTTATTAAATTTAACAGAGTATGATTTTAAGTACTCAATAATAGCAAACTATGTATAGGTTATAATTTTTTTAAGACATAGGACAATAGTAATGTAGGTACATAATACGTATCTTCAAACATTTCAGTCAAACTTTTTTTTTTAATTGAACCAACAAAATTAAACAAAGAAGTATAATATCATATTATATTAAGCTATGCTCTAAATTCACATCAAATTTATAAAACATATTAGTTAAAAAAATCAAATATATTCGTTTGCCAAGAGAATAGTTCAAAATTTTCAATAGAAAACATTACCAAATTGTTGTTGAATCTGTCCACGTCCATCAGAAAAAAATCTCAAAATATCTTTATTTTCAATAATTCTCAAAATCTAATTTGAAACTGTTTATATTCCATTTTCCTTAAAAACTATTAAAAATGATATGTAAGGTTAACAAAAACTTACTTTATATGGTTGACCAGATGAATTTAACAAAACAGCCTTTTGAACATGTATACACCCACTTTAGGAATATCAAGTTTTACAATCATTCTTTGCCAAATATCAAAATTGTCAAAATTTAAAAGAGATAGGCTTAAAATCAAAAGTAATAGATCTCAAATTAGTTTGTTTAAAAAAATTAAAAAGCTTTAGGTCCATTAAGACATTTAAGAATTTTATGATTGTGAATGTACTAAATGGTACATAGATCCTATGAACAGAATGCTTAGCGTTAATTTCCATAGATGCTTTTTATGCACAATGGCACTATAATAAACAAATACATACTTGCTATATTATTATCAATCATCCAAATAGAATTGTTTTAGTAGAAATTTTTATCATCTGAATTTTATATTAAAATCGGATCCATGAAAGAATGGACTTTCTTTAAACAAAAATGTATGTTAGCATTAAAAAAGTTCATTTTAAGTGAACAGTATTATAACCATTGCATAAAATTTGGTTAAAATACATAATTACGATTATGTTCCGCAGACTAAAATATGAGAAATGTTAATATCAGAGAAATCATTTTACATTATATGTACAATTAAAATGCCTGAATACACAAGGAGTTATTGCCCTTGGCAACACTTTAAAAGATTATATGAAGAAAATATACATTTTATAATTCTTTTACGAAACACTTATTTGCATTACATATATTAAAAAGTAATTATTCAAAAGATTGTTTTTTTTTTTTGATTTTATGGGTATGAATTTAGATTAATAAATTTTTTGGAGGATGGAAATGAATAAAGCACAAAACATTACTGTAAAACTTTGGCTTAGTCAAAACACATTCTCTGCATGATATTATTTCATTCGTGAACAATATATATAACAATTCTAAAAATGCTCTAATTAAAGTCAAAAAGGTGCCGACTTCCATCTAGGAATATTTCAAGTACCTATGCTTTGCACAAAATCAAATGTTAAATAACTCTTGCAATAAAATTGACAAGAGGTGCTGTGTATGCAGTTATTACCAAAATTCTGCCCATACGAGCGGGAAACTGTCAAGGACTGTACTTTTCGTGATGTTCTCTCCAGACCTTCTTTTCTTTACTCTGAAATACTTTGCCGAAGCTTAAAATCATCATTGGCATCATCAATAATTGAATTGTCTTGATATCCATGTAAACAATCCTATTATCATCAATACGTAAAAACTATAGTTTCTTTTATTCAAATGATTAATTTATCAACTTTGTTATTTTCCAGCAAGTTAACTGCTCTTTTAAAATCTATTTGCATTTAATATTGGCATCTATTTCTTACTTTAATATTGAAAGTCAAATACCTTTTCTCCATCGATATTTAAATGTAAACAATTTCTTGCTTTTGTCGTCTATTATCATCAATGCATCTTCAGTAAAAACTGTGTAACTTCTTGAATAGCCCGCTGCTCACCCACGTGGCTAAAATTCGACTCAGTCATACGCGCTACAGGTAAAAGCGTGTTCGAAACTGGTTGATTGCTCGTCGATGACCACTTCACGCCTGACCAGCAGCTTATATATCGTTACCTAACAAGTACTTTTCATTTACTTGCGCATCCCGAAATAGTTCAAACAATACAACTAATAGAAATTGATTTATTTTGCTTCCATAAATTTGGCCCTATGCTTAGTAATCTCAAATTTATCCACATTTAGCGACAAACCGTGCACAGATCATATCTCGGACAACTACATGTATATCTATATTGGACACTACTTACCAAGTTTTGAGGGTCTGCTTTTGTGTGGTCACAGTGACAATCCTCTAAGTTGCCCTACGTATGGTCTTATCAATACGCTCTGTACAGGCATGCGCTTAGGGAAATCATTTGGCTAACATTGTATTGGAAAATAAATTACATCATCTGAAAGAGCGTAAAATTCTGAGTCAAACAAGTGTTTCAAGTACCAAGTTTGACCAAAATTGACCGACATATGACTATTTAAAGAATCCTATCCCGTCGCTCTTAGTGACGATTCATTCCACATATCCAAAAGACCACTATGAGGTCACAGTCAAAAATTCATTTTTCCAACAATACTATAATCAAACACTAAAAAGTCATTTATGCAGTTTTCAGTGTTGGGATCCTTTTAACACTCTTTTCCGCATCGAATGAAATAGTTTTCAAAATCCCGACACCTCAAATGACTTCAAAATAAGGGTCTGTAATGTGGCTTATTTTGCTTCCATTATTTTGGCCCTATGCTTAGTAATCTCAAATTTATCCACATTTAGCGACAAACCGTAAACATATCATATCTCGGACAACTACATCTATATGTATTTTGGACACTACTTACCAAGTTTAGAAGGTTCTTTAGAACAAATGTTTCAAGTACCAAATTCGACCAAAAATGATCGAGATATGACCATTTAAAGAATCCTGTCCCGTCGCTCTTAGTAACCATTCATTTTGGATATTCAAGAGACCACGACACCAATAATCCATTCCAAAAGATGAGTTAGTAACTGCAAATATTGTGCGAGCAGTTCAAAGAACCATTTTTTACATAAAAGTTTTTTTTAGCCCAGGGTGAAAACCGAACTTCCGAAACCTTATTGCACGTCAAGAGGATACCCCTAATCACATTTCAAAATGTGAATGGACAACTGTGAAAAATCTTAAGAAGTTAGAGGTGATTTTTTATACCCCCCGCTTGAAAAGCGGGAGGGTATATAGTAATCGTTAATCCGTCCGTCTGTACGTCTGTCCGTCCGTCCGTCCGTCCGTCTGTTACGCTTTGTGGTACCCATCTCTTATCCGCAACTCCTCTCATACCAGTGAAGGAAATTTAATGAAACTTTCACAGAATGTTTATTACATATTGCCATTGTGCACCTCCTATTTTACTTTTTGATCCGACACATATTTTGGATTTTCCAGGCAAAACATGGATACTGCAATTATATTCATACGGGAGGCGGAGGGTATTATTTAGTGAGCTCATTGGGTTTTTTTTGTCATCCCTAAGTCTCCCTCTCTGAAACTGTATACTGCACAACTAGATTACACATCCCCATCACATACCAAAATATGAAATGGCTACCGTGAAAAATGTAAGGGGAGTTCAAGGAACCTAGTTTTTGTAGAAAACACGGGTTTTACATCCCTTTGGCCCTAGGGTAATGTTCAAGGCACCATACATCAAGTTGCCTACAGTTGAAAAAGGGAGTATGACAGATGGACGAACAGCGATACTATATTTAGGATTATTTTTACTGTTTCACGCCTGCAACAATTTTGCACCACTTTGAATTCCCCAGACACAGTTCTGTTGATGAGATTATGCAGTTTTCATTGAATTTGCCAGTTTTATAATCGCCGAAGAGGGCGAAAGGAGCGAAAATGAAACTGGCGAAAATTTCCCTGTAAACAATATGTATACCCAACATTTTCAGAAAGTAAAGATATACCGATAAATCGGCGCAATTTATGTACTTTTTTGTATTTTTGCAAAATTATTTGTGATGCATATCGTCTTATGGTCTGTAAAGAGAGTACTGCCAAAGGCGGGGATATAACGTTAATATACCGATATATCGTTAACAGGAATCTCTGAAGCTTTGCCTCATAGAGATCTTTAACTTAAATGAAGATCTCTTCGAATGTTCTTCTGGGAATAATTGTATACGCTTCCTAGAATATATTACTACTTTATAGAACAATCTTAACATTTTAATGAGGCATTTTTTTGAAAAAAGAAATTGTTTGAAAATTATGCATGTAAATAACACTCGTTTTAATCACTAAATGAAAGTGGGTCAATCTTGATTTTCAAGATAATCTTTAATAATAATACAACTGTAATAATAAAATGAGTATATAAAGTGCTAAATATTAAAAAAATACTCTAAAGCGCTGTACAATAAAACGCAAGTAAACATAATTTAAGAACCATGAAAAAAATTAACATATATCTGTTAGAAATTATAACATCAACATTTTAAATAATTTTGCAAACAGAGAAGTAAAAATTTCAAACTTTATTTATCAATGAACTAGTTTTTTTTTCTTTGAAGCCGTATGCTTCAAATTAGACAAAGACAAATTAAAAATCATTTCTTAAAACATCAAACAATATACCTGATCATATATCCGTGAAATGTGGGTCATAAATACCTTTCTAACGTACATTTGGCATATATAAAAATGGAAATACTAGAGTATCACAAAGTATTCTGTCAAATTTTGTTCAAAGAATTGTCAAAACTTTATATAATAGTCATACTGCAACACAACGAATCCACTTTTCCCATGGCATACTAAAAGGTAGCCGGACTGGATGTTATGACAAATCCTCCTAAAGCCTCTCTGCTGTATCTACCAGTTTCACACGAGAGATTCCCATAACAAAATACCAAAATAAATAATCCTCTCGGTTTGGAGAGAGGCTTTTGGACATTAAGGACAGGGTACTCTGTATATAAACCGGAGTCCCTGTCCCGTCCCGTCACACAGAGGGATGTATCTCCTGCTGGCGGTAGCGGCGGCGGCTGCCGTGACAGGTAACATTATTATCAAGTTTTAGTTTTCCCTCAAATTAAATCATGATGTGATTTATTTGGCCAAATTGATCATGAGTATTTTCAAATTAAATTTTTACAGGAAGAGTAAAACATGTATTGAATTTTTTTTTAATGACCGCATTACCTTTTTTAATTTTTTGCGTGAGGCATTAACAAAAAATACGAGTACACGTATATACGTTTTCTTTCATCATACAAACGATTTTGTTTGTTAAATTTTCATAAATAGGCCGGGATATAACTGAAAAAGAGATATTTTACTTGATCGATAAAATTTTCGTCTTTTATAACGTATAAATCCTAAAATCTATTGTGAAATAAAAGTTCATGAGGGTTTCTCAGACTTGAGAAATGAATTCCTTTAATGGTGCTTAAACTGGCTGGATGATAAAGAAATTACTCAAAAGAAACAAATATGAAACACTGCTAGTAATCTGTACAGCAATAAACTTTTACTGTTATTTAGTAAAGGGAAAACCACATAATTTAGCTAAACGTTTATTGCGATTTCCTCCATTTTCATCCAGAACTTCTTTCCCAAGAGGATTAGTTTTTTTGGTAAATACGACAAAAATAATATGTTAAACCAGTCATTTTTCTTATTTAAAAAAATGAAAACAATCTACAACAATGTGCGATAGATATTCGAATATATTCGAGATTTTTTACATTTACATGTATTAAGATGACCTTTTAAGTTTCTCTGAAAACTACATGTCCTTGATTTCTTTTATTATTATGAATATTATATTAGATGCATTTAAGTATTTTCGGTTCTCGAGTAAAATCCTTATATGATTCAAAATAATTTGATGAAAAAAAAAATGAAAAACTAAAAATATAATAAACAGTGCATGCAAGTAAATATAAGAGGTTTTTAAGCCCGATTTTTATACCAAAGCCCATCTGAACAGCGAAAGGTTAGAAAGAAATGTAATATTCTTGAAATCTATAGCTTTGTTTTCGAGAAATTATTTGACTAAATTAAAAGATCAAAAACGTCCTATTTTCAACGGAAACATTTCTGATAGTCTCTGAAACAAATCCTCTTTTTTTCAGCCGCGCAAAGTCCAAGTCAACCTAGTCACGGTGAGTATTTTGTAAATATATTTTAAATGTGAATACTTTATATATTTTATACGGTATAAATCGTATCACAGCTGAATTCTGCATGCTTTGATTCTTAGCAACTTACGACTTTTTAACTTTATATGCAACCATTCCCCTGATAAATTGAAGTCCACGCTTTCTGTCATTGACAGCTGCTTTTTCAATAAAAATGGAACTCGTAAATTTACTCACCCTGTCTTTGCCCATTTACAAAATTATTTTGTTAAATAAAGGTTCTGATTGTACACACCTTGTACTTTGAAATTTAAAAAGATGCTTGAGTTTCTGATTGACAATATCTATGTGGTTTTTTGGAGACCATGAAGGTTTACCAACAATCTTTGGAATTCCATTGTGTGCCAATTGCGCCCCGTTATAAGCAGACCTACTTTTTTTTGGTGGTGGTCTTCAACTCATCTTTAATATATATCGACGACGTATTGCCAATTAACACTGGTTATTTCCATGTCCCAGTCAGCTTGAAATAAAAGTCTGACACATCTGTTTCATATTTAGATATTTTTTCTTGAAAAAGACGTTAATGGTAATCTAACAACCAAGCTTTATGACAAACGAAATTGACTTTAAGTTTTCAACTTCCCTTACTTATGCAGCAATAAACGTTCATAACCTGCATACGGAGTTTATATCTCTCTTGATTTGATCTCAAAAGCATTCTCTATATGAATGATTTTTAAAACGAGGTAAGTTATTGACAAACATGTTGCTGAAACAAGAATATCAGCTGTCGTCTTGTTTAAAGTCATATTTCGTAAGTTCTATGGTCGATACAATGACCATATCAGCAAACACAATTTATCATTAAATTAAATGTTGACGAGTTTCACTGATTGTTAGTACACACTGAATCGTGCAGATGAAATTTGCAGCTCTCCACCGCCAAGTGACGAATCTATATGAGTGAAAGAATCTCAAAGGATTCTAAGTATGTGGGGAAAATGTCACATGTCTATAAAATTTGAAATGCACTCCAATGCAAATACATGTTTTGTCTCTTTCCTTTTTTTTCGAAGGACTAAACTAAGACGTGAGCTTAATTTTCTCTGCAAACATTGAAACGAATTACCATGAAATTTTATCATACATCATAAAATATGATAAAAAAAAAAGTGACTAGCGAATAATTTGGAGAATAATTAAAAATAGCCATGAAATTTGAAGATATCGAACAGTATTCATACTCACAAAGGTCTATTTAAGCAATACAAATCAGGAGCAGGGCAAACACAGACCTCTAAACAGAAAAGAGGAGGTGGAAATCAGGTGACAGGGAAGAGAAAGCCAGGCGCATTTGTTATTATAGAAAAAAGTAAAAAAAATGAAAAAGATCCAATCAATTTGATGTGTAAATAACAATCTTGCAGACTTCAGTCAGCATTCGATGTAATGACAGATTGTATGTGATGACAAGGTCACTGTACATATCGACGTGAACTTGCTAAATGATGAGTTTAAACGAGACAGTTGATATTCTTATTCCATCAACTTGTTTGTGAATAGCTTGCCTAATTTTTGTTATATTAAATAGTTATATTAGCATTCATAAATGCCTTATGATTTTAGCGTACGAGAGAAATAAGGAATATCTGTATGAATATGAAACACAAGCACTAACTGGAATACCTCAGGGAAGCACAATTTACTCTGGAATGAAGTTAAAATGTAACGTCAGAATTCAGTTCCGCTCCCGATCCTCGGCCACACTACAGGTTAGCTGTCTAATACTTGTGTATAAAAAATTGCTTTATGTATTTTCTTATCTCTTTCACTTAAGTAATGGTGGTTCTAAAAATTGTACAGTTTAAAACCGAAGAACTAACAGAGCAAACAGAAAATTGAGTTCACAGAATTGTTTGGTATCCTCAATTAATCTGCGTGATTAATCTATTGTCATTGATAAAATACAGTGTTGGGACTTAAAACAAATGTGTAGAACTGATCATAATGCATTTACATTTTGTTTAGCTGGACAAAATCGTCTTAGCAAAGATTAACGACCCGATTGAATCGGTGAACCCAACCCAACAACAGGTGCCCGAGAATCTGTTCAGGCCCCTCACAGGCAAGGATGCTGATCAGATGATAAAGGACCTGTCTAGACCCATCAACTTCCTGTAAGTCAATGCAACAAAATGAGAATCTTCTTATAAAGTCAGTGTAAAGTCCTCTAAAATGAAAAAAAGAATTACGCATCCCCCATTCCAAATTCGAAACCTTATTGCACATTTACAAGACACCATCAATCATCATGACAAAAATGGTTTCCAAAACGAACAGGTGTTCTGGTGTGGAACCAGGTTTTTGTTAAAGATTTAATTTTTTGCCAGAATTGCTCGATCCAATGCACATCTTCGGGACACTCCCAATCAAATTCTAAAAGATGAGTTGATAAATACAAAAATGGTTTCCAAACAGGTAAAAACGAAATTCGCATATCCAATCATAGTGTAAAATGACAAAAATTATTCTTTTAATTTCAAATTCCTCTGCTGTGTAAAAATTCGAAACCTTATTGCGCAACTAAGGGATATTCCCAAAATAGGAATGAGTTACTGGAAAACTGTTAGAGGAGTTCAAGGAACCATGTTTTTTTTGGTAGAAAAAGACAAATCTGTACTCCCAGTCGCCCTAAGTGTAAAAACTGAAATTCTTAAAAACCTTATTGACAACTACACTTTAAAACATGTTCCTAAAGATTATTAAAGCAAAAATTTTTAGAGATCTTTAAGAATCCGAGTTTTGTAGTCAATTTTTTCGACCCCAATCACCCCAAGGGTGAAAGGTCGGAATTCTGAAACCTTGTTGCATTTCTAAAAGACATTCCCAATCACATTCCAAAATATTCATTGGCCCCGGGGATAGATGTAAGAAGAATTAAAAAAAGTTTTTGAAGAAAAATACTGTTTTTGTCCCTATTTGATACCCAAGGTGAAAAATTAAAATTTCATAATCGTTTCCAAAGACATCATCAATTATTTTTCTAAATTATGATGAGTAGGCTATGTTTAAGATGTAAAAGTTGTTTGAAATTCTAGATATACTGACAGACCGCCAGACAGACCATGATAACAACACGAAACCCCAACTTTCTTTAGAAAGTGTAGGGGGTAATAAACAAATCCGAGAATTCTGGTCTTTAACTTTTTATGGTGCAATAACGGCATGCAGTATTCTCCCATTTGGGATTTTCATTTTTCTCCAAAGGTATGTCCGTGGCAACGTCCGCGAAATCAAGCAAGAAGCAGACGACCCGGAGTGGTCGGTCAATGTTAAGAAAGGTCTTCTCAGTATCCTGGAAGTCAACTTGGATAAGAGGAAGCAGCTAGACCAGAGCAGTTCCATCCCTCGAGTTCTGCGTCCCCAGTCTTCGAACGAGGATTCCATGTATAAGGTTATGGAGGTAGGTTTGTTGATGAGCATTGAAATGAAGTCAGTTACCAGAACAAATACACTGTGCTAATATACTGATGAATGTTCCAGGCAATAAAATGAAAATGATTTTAATATATTTTCAATTAAAAGATGAGGAAAATTGATTCCTAAAGTTGCCGTTTTGATAAACGACTTAACAGAGTATCAAGATTACCCAACCACGCACTAACCGTCTCCTTTTTATATGATTATTATATTACAGCCCAGCATTGGTGGTGAATGTGAAACTCTATACAAAGCCAGTCCTCGCACATCAAGTAGTGGTGATCCAGTTATGTATATAACGAAAGTCAGAAACTACGACAACTGTCTGGACCGACCAATGTACTTTTCCTCCATGTTCCACGGGAAAAAGTGTGCCGAATGTGTCAAAGAATGGGTAAGATATTCGTTAAAACAATGCAGCATGTTGAGTTCTGTACACTAGTTTGCCACACTTTTGATACATGTTTATGGTTATAGTTTTCATAACTATAGTCGACTCCAAACTGTTCACTAAAGCCGAACTTTGTAATTCAGTGTCAATCCCATTTTCTTCTACAGTCAGACCCACTGAGATCCGCCTCGCAGGTCATGTACACAATAAGGGGAAACACGAGGATGTTTCAGATCCAGAGTGCTATTTCTGAAAGTCAGCACGTCTTCACACCATATTCCGACAAAGGAGGGAATGTTGTGACATATTTGAAGTACGCGAAATTATAATTTGTATATTGCCGAATACAAGTTTCAACATGCACTGAAATACTAGTAAATGAAATTTCTTTCTAAAGTCATGATAGTGAGTATTACTTGTGAAGAACATTGACAACTCAACAAAGTAAACGTGCCATAACTGTAAAAGATTTATCTATTTGTAGCCAGACGTTAAATCTGATAAAAGTGATGGATGTCAAAGAGATTTTATCTCAGCCAAGCAGTCCCAAAACTGTTAGCTCTGGGCTTCAATTCAAGTCTCGCGAGATTGAATCGCGCGATGAATCCTCAAGCAGTTCACAAAAATCGCCACCTTCCAGTCAAAGTCCAGCATCAGAGGTGCTCAGCAAACAGTCGCAGAAAAGTGCAGACCAGGCAAAAGAAAGGGTACTCCCTTAAAATTTCCATCTGCATTCATTAAACAAGTTGAGGGAAATGTATTTATAGGTTTATTTAGATGGATCAATTGATTAAAAGGTTTGGATGCAAGCAAGCATCGGGCCAATAAAGATTATATCTCTATAAAGTGTCTTCGTTTTAATTGGTATTTAATGCCTCCATTCTAAGTTTCTAACCAATAATAAAATATATCCAAAAATTAAAAGCATTTCATTCGTTTACAATTTCAAGATCCGAAAACTGCTGAAAATGTTGGAAACCTTCATGAAACCAACAATCCAGGAAGAGGCTGGTCCACTTCTAATGTCACTTCTAGAGGAGATCCGAAAGGCAGATGCAGAGAGTCTCAAAGCCGTTTTCCGTGAAACAGTCCAAAGTGCATCTGCAGACAAGAAGAAATTGTAAGTTGTTGTAATTGAAATGAATCTCTAAATGCCCCAAAAAACCTGTTTGATTACTACTGTGCTCTTCATTTAGTTCATCGACATGTATTTCAATATTTCAGTGAACCAGAATATTAATTTTAACAAGAATATTTGACCATTTGTTTTAGAAACAATAACCAAGAACATCTGAAATTGCAAAACTTTGAACATGAGAATGTGTCTTATATTGAGTAAAGCTGTGTTAAGCCATTGAATAAAGAAGAAAAAAATACTCAAATTATTCTTTATTTGTTTTGTAAAACATTACAGAAAGATGTTGATGGACTTGCTACCGTCAGCTGGTACCTCCCCTGCTACAGAAGTATTAAGGGACGCTATCAAGAACGACCAGATCTCTAAACCTCAGGCCGCCATCGCTCTAAACATTCTTTCTCTGTCAGCTCGACCAGAAGTTCTTGTTGCCAAAACACTTCTGGTAACCTTATACGATTTAACTTATCACACATTGAAAAAAAACTTGTGTTCTCTTCGTGGCTAAATCATCAGCCGTAATATTCTAGTGTGATACTAGTAGTCATTATTTATGTGGTCTTTATTAGCACTCTACCAAAAATAGAAATAAAGTTTCCAAGCAGCTTTGTTTTAACCCTTTTGCGTATGTTAACCTCTGCCATTCTTTTACACGCTTTATGTGTCCTTACATACCTTATTGTCCTACTGAACATTTTATACAAGGTAGAAAGTTAGAATCTATTTTTAATGAGTTATCAATTTTTTACCTCTTTTTGCTTACTTGCATGTAATGCGATAAAAATGCCTCTTTCTGAACCTTTTCTTTCCAATTCGAAAAAAAAAACCACATTATTTTCATAATGAGGAAAAAGATGAAGACAATCGGTGGCCAGCCAATGATGACAGAGCTGTCTGTATACATTCCAGTGAGCTCAGTCTTTATCGGCGGGCTGCGTTTGTTCTCTACGACAATCCTCGGAAACACTGAAGCTTATTAGAACCTTTCTTTGTAAAGCTGCTGTCATCTTCGGCTTTGACTAACTGTATATGTCGGCGCATAATAGTCTCCATCAAATTATTTATGCAGGAAGTAACAGCTTTGTAGTATTTTTCGATATTCAGAGTGTCACTTGAAATACATGTACTCACTGGCAAAATTCCTTGCATCTCTGATATAAATTTGAGAGTTTTGAAAAATGGAATCGTAAAATCTCCTGATTCAAATACAGCGAATTCTGGTATGTTCCTACTTGCAATACCTGGTATTTTTCAAAAGTTATGAAATTCGTATATTCTTCAACAGGAACTAACACAGAGTACCCAAGTTTCTCAGGACCGAATGTTGAAGAGAGCAGCCTTCCTGTGTCTGGGAGCGGTAGCTGGTAAACTTAGGGAGGAAGAACAGAGAAGATCCCGCCAGATGGCGCGCCAGGAGAACATCGTTAATACTCTTATGTCTACTGTGTCAAACTCCCAAAGCAGGAAAAAACTGAAGTCCAAAAGGAGAGATTTGGGGGATAGAAAGAGAAAACAACAGAGTATTTACACAAGAATAAGACAGGAAATTGTCAAGGTGTTTTTCTCTTCTTATTTCAAATTTTTCGAATACTAATCACACTTATTTATAAATATCAATACAATACGAGCTTTTTTTTTAAATTTCTTTTTTTTTCCTTCGGTATGTTTAATTATTGCTACAGACTCTTTATAAGATGCCAGGGCCCAAAGTATGACACATCTGTTTCATATGTGGATCTTTTACTAGAAAAAGACTTTAATAGTTATCTTACAGCAAAGCCTTGTGATAACGTGATGACTTACTTTTCAACCGTCAGCTTCCCTTACTTATACAGCAACATACCTTTGCCACCTACATACAGAGTTTATATCTCTCAGTCGATTCGAAACAGAAGAGCTTGTTCTACTTGCTCTGCATTTTGAAGTAAAAGTTGCGGGTCCTTCGAATGAGACCTTAGAAACTGAGGCCCCGTATCACGACAGGCGTTGGTACATTAAAGATCCCTCACTGCTCAATGACCTTGAGTGCCGAGTAAAGGTCAATATTTGAAGCCCTTCGCCGGTATATGATGATGTCTCTTTATGAGTGAAAAATTCTCGAATGGGACGTAAAACAACATACAATCAATCTAAAACGAGGTAAGTTATTGACAAACAAGTTGATGACACAAAAATATAAACAGTCTCGTTTAAAGTCATCATTTCGTAATTTCTATGGTCGAACCAATGACCTTGTCAGCAGTTACAATTTTATTATGTCAAGTGCTGACTGACTTTTTTAATACTGATTGTTCGGCAATTATTTGCACACTGAGTTGTCCATGGATTTCCCCGTTGTTTTTTCGCCCGAATATGACAAGGAGCACACGGCGGTTGTTGCCGGTCGGCAGGGGATGCTCACTCGTCCATAAACCTAATCCTACCTCTGATGTTTTGGAGGTCCGTGCGTGCTCCGTTCCTATTTTGTAATGTTTAATGGACTTTTGAGTTCGAATACTCTTTGTCATCTTCACATATTTCATTCGACACTCGAAAAGTTTAAGATTTTTTTGTGTTTTAAGGGTAAATCTAATCTTTTGATACTATTTGCACATTTATACTTGAAAGTATTTAGAATCAGTCCAATACGTTTTGCCCAGACCTAAAATATTTCGCGAGAAACAAAACCAAATAAATCTTTTTTGTTCAACAGGAAATCCAGAGTTTAATGAAATCCACTGACATGGACGATAAAATCTTAAGCTTTAAAACAGCAGGAAACTCCGGAATGCAAGAGATGATTCCAAGTATCAGAACTTACATTGAAGACAAATCCCAACCCCAGCTACTCCGAGCTCAGGCAATCTACAGTTTGCGAAAACTCACCAGTCAGCACCCTCAAGATGTGAGTGATTTATAATCCTGTTTATTTCCAAAGTACAGTGACATCATAAGTCCTTCTTTTGCCTGCTTTGTGGATAGCAGTAATCCGAAGCACTGCATTGCATAAATTTAAGTATTTCGAAACTTATATGGATTCACGTACAATCGCATTTCATTAATTATTAAATATAAGAAATCTGAACAATTTTTTTGAAGTTATTATGAAAGGGCTCACTCCAAGGAGCAAATATTCTATTGAAAAAATTTCTTGCGTTTTGAATAAAACTGAAAGGAAAAGCCAGAATATGATTTAATTGTAATACTCAAGTGAAGATATTACATGACAATTAATTTACGTCACAGATTCAGTCCATCCTGCTACCCAGATACTTCGACCGCACCGAGAAAGAAGAAGTGAGAATATCCTCATATATTGTCTTGGCATCGACAAGTCCTTCCCGCCAGCTTCTAGAGATGATCGCCCATTCTCTTCACAGAGAAACCAACCCCCACGTCGGAACATTTGTTTATACACACCTAGAACAAATGTCCAACAGTACTTATCCGTGTCTCATGTCTTGGTAGGTCATGGTTTTTTTTTATATTTCTATCCCATTTCTTCTTTTGATCTGCTTTTTCATGAACTTATGACTACTTTCATATTTTATCATCAGGGCAAAGAATGCAACATTGGCCTTGCGATTTGCAAAGAAGTTTAGTCCGATGTTTCAATATTCACGATTTCTTCAGTTCTCTGGATACAATGGTAAAATATGAGGGTCTCGATTCCTCCAACACTAAACATTTTATATTAATTGATTTCTGTCTTCTGTATCACTACTGAATATGTTTTGGTCGTTACATCTGATTGGTTTTGGTGAAAATATAGATAGAGTGAAGCTAGGGGCAGCTGCAGAACTTGGTTTAATAACTTCCCCAGAAGAGTTTATCCCAAGAGCTGGTGCTATACATCTCAATACGCATGTACTGGGAAGCTCAGTCAATTTCATGGAGGTAACATTGTATTTTATTCTGACATGGTATGCTTTATTTAACTTTGAGGAGTGTGCTCACTACTAGTTTACTGTCCTTTTTTCATACAATCTAAGATTGGATTCAACACAGAGGGGTTGCAAACACTTCTTTCGAAAATGGTTGGACCACTTGGTGAACTTACCAAAGGGAAATCAGTTGTAGATGTTCTCAAACAGCGAGTTCGCAGAAGTTCACAGTCACAGCAAACTCAAAGTGACCCGATCAGTCAAATCCATCAGAAGGTAAAGAATTTTGATAGTATTGCAATGATCATTATCTTTGGAAATGAATATTTTTTTCCTTTATTTCTCGTCACGATCTTAATTTCACGTTTAACGTTTCAACAAATAAAATTGTAAACGTTCTTATCATATATTTACTAGCTGAAGGTGTCAGCTCGTACAAGCCCCGAACCAAAAGGCCATTTATACATTAAAATGATGGGTAATGAACTTCAGTACTTCAGTTTGGATCGTAGTACTTTGGTGGAGACATTACTCAAAGAAGGTAAACTTTTTTAACAAAGCACATTTTCAAAAGAATCTGGTTCCTATGGATCTTTTATAAAATCCTCAAACAAAAATCTCCCTATACTAGGAAAGATCCTACTGAGTGTGTCAGAACAGAAGATGAAGAGTGGAATTGACATGGACATACACCGGTCTCTCATACCTATCGATGCTGACACTATGATTCCAACCGAGTCTGGTCTCCCGCTCCGCCTGAGACTTAGGGGAACAGCTGCAGTTAAAGTAACAGGCAAAGTCAAAGTTTCTGGGGTACCTTCTCTATTTGAGATCAACCGTCCAGGGAAGGCTGCCAGAGAACTAGGCTTAGATTTAGAACTCAGTCCAAGGTATTCTCATTTCATTCTCTGTCCTAAAATCCTTGCCAGGATCTTTTTTTATCTTCATATATGGCGAATGTTGGGACTAAAATTATAAGAACTTATTATTTGTATCATTACTTTATATAAAATGAACTTTTCCGTAAATTACAAAAAAGATTGATATCACAATTTAAATTTATACTTGAGTACAAAAGATTTTAATCATAGAAAGTTATATGAAAAGCTTTAATTTGAATGTAAACTAATTTTGTAAGCCATATATGTAAGAGCATTTTCTTTTCTCAGTGTATTGGTTGACATGCGAGGGGAAATGGAAATCGATGCAGAATACTTTAAAGCTGGAGTCTCTATTAAATCTATGGCACGTGCAGAGACGCCTCTTTCGCTCTCCATTTCTTTTAACCTCGCTACTGCCAAAGTTATAACTAAAGTCAATATTGAGAAATTGGTAAGATATACTGGTATATATCTGCATAAATTTTGACATGGTTTTTACATTTTAACATTGCAATTACTGTTATTCAATATAATTGAGAAGAAAAGCATAATGTTATGATTTTTTCCATTAGAATGAGAAAATAGCAAAGATGGAAATATCTCCATCAACGTATTTCAAAGATAACCCATCTGACATAACGAAGTATCCTGCACCAAGAGAAACGCAAATTATCAGGGCTGCTAAAGGTGCAAAGGTCATGCCAGTAAGTGAATACAATATGCAGTAAGATATATGCATTAATTTCGATGAAGTCATCGTTTAAATATCCACGTTTTAAAACTCAATCTGAAATGATTTTTTCTTGTACTAATTTTTAATGTAATTATTTTACAGTTGTCAATTTCCTGGGGTAAGCGAAGTTTGGGTCTCGAAGTAGGATTGAGCGGACAAGCTGTTTTAAGCGATTTTGAGATGAATATTCCATATTACCCAATGATAGGTAAACAGGAATTATTTCTTACCCTATCGCCAGGAATTAATCCTCAGAAATATATGGAATTTCAAGTACAGTTGATGGTTCCAAAACAACAAAAGTCTGCTCACCAACCAACCTCAGATAAGGCTTCAAATTCGGGAGAAGATGGAATCATTTCTAAATTAGCCAGTTATTTAACGCTATTAAGTGGTGGACAGTCTGATCGGATCCCAGTTTCTTCTTCACAATCCTCATCTCCTCCAAAAGACATCAAATCAAAAGATTCATCCTTGGCAAGTCTCCTTCAACATTTGGAAGAATCACAATCTGTCCAGTCAGAGAAAGCAGTTGTGTCACGTAATAATAGTGTTGGAATTCTAATGAATTTTATTGGAATAGATGAATCAAGATCCATCAAACGACATCTGCAAGTTTCTATGGCAGCGGGTTTTGACATGAGGTCACGAATCAATTCAATTCTGATGACTCTAGATAGATCTCCAGTTCCAGAAATAGAAACCAAACCATGGAAGGTAAGAGTTAAATTGGTCATATATGTGAGCAACATTTTTTCTATCTGTTGCTCTTAGTTCGTATTAACATAGACTTTAATTGTGTGATTTCAGATGGACATCGCCATCAAATTAAATTTACCAACACGGCTTGTAAAACCTTCAGAATTGTTGTCTAACTCATACCAGAAAGAAGTTGAACAACAAATAGAGGTGCATATAAGAAGGGATGGAGAGGATGAGTACTATAGGTTGATTGATCGGGAGGTACCACGCCAACAGGTTAAAGTTCTCAAAACACTTTTAAGCTCAACAAGCACCCAGGAAATCATCGACGAAGTTGTGAACACGGAAATGAGTCAAACAGAAGAGTCTTCAAAAAGTTCTCAGACACAGGTTATCAAACTTATAAGAGAACAAAAACATCTTCTGAAAGAGGTGAAAAATATTCGTCGAAGGTCATCTGACCCGTTAAAACTTCAAAGGATAAAATCAACATTGTCGTCAGTCCTGAAGTGGTCAGAAAAGGTTAAGCAAATTTTAGACAGAGAGTCACGGTCGGTATCAAGCAGTGAAGAATCAGATATTCTACGAAAATACTCTGCATTACTTCAACAAATAGTTGAGCAAAGAATTGAGGAATCAGTCCTATCCTCAATGAGGGCATTATCTTCGAAAGATCAACAATCTCTCAAGAAATCATTAGAAACTAACAGAGAATCACTGAGAAAGATATTGCAACGTCAAAGTTCTTCACAGAGGGGTTCTCAAAGTTCTCAATCTGATCCCCAATCTCCACACATCCCTGAAGTACCGACTAAGGATTCCTCTCAACAACAAAAGCCACGAAAATCAGAAGAATCACAACAAAGGGATTCCTCTGAGTCGCAACCCAGAAAGTCAGACTCTCAGTCTCCCTCTCAACCTGAAGTTGATTCGAAAAAGGCTAAGGAATCTCAACAAAAGACACAACGACAGCAACAGTCTGAAGAGTCCCAACAGCAGGAGCAACAGTCTCAGCAATCATCCCAACAGTCAGAGCAGTCACGGGAAAGTCAGGAACAATCGCAGAGGACACCTCAACAATCACAAGACAGTACCTCACTCTCTCAGTCGAAAAGCCAGTCTCCTTTGTCTAAATCAGTATCGAGTCTTCTACAGAGTCAGCGGGAGGCAATTCGGGAGCTTTCAGTGTCGAAAGAAAAAGCAGAGGGCGCGAAAAATATTGACCAGAAGAAATTGGAGGATGCAATTCGTATAGCTAAGGAAGTCAATGAAAAGATTCGTCAAGAAGCGACGACCTCATCTCCCCTTAGTATTGAAAAAGAACGGGTAAAATTACTAAAAGCTGCCGTCCAACAACAACAAATCTCCAAATGTTTAGAACAGAGAATAAAGAGGCAACGGTCCAAACCGCAAACTCGGAAAGAAATAAAAGAAACGAGTATATTGTTGGAACAGTTGAAACGAGAAAATGACAAAATATTAAAAGTATTGGCAGTAGAAACTCGACATGAGAAAGAAAGAGTGATTGCTAGAGGAAAACATTCTCAGCAAGAGCAGATTGTACTTAGAAGTCTTAGAAGAGTTCAGCTGTCACAAGTAATCGCTTCTCAGCAGCTAGTTCGTGCAGGATCATCCTCTGATAAACCTAGTGCAGACAATGTCCAACCAGTCCAAAGGGTGCAGCAATGCATGGAGATTTTAGATGAAACAGGCAAACAAATAGTGTCTTTAATGAAACAAAGAAGTGTAAAACAAAGTCCATTAGACGTTATATCTAAACTTGCTGAAGTTACACAAATGCAGCAAAGTTTGCTGGGATTGGTTGCTGAGCGTGCCAGAGAGCAATTGATTCAATCTGTATCCCGTTCTCATGCAGTGGACTCAAGAATAAAAAGACTCGAAGAGAAGGCTGAGACGGAAAAACTTGAGTATCTCCAAATAATGAGAAGTATACGAAAATCAATTGACTCGAAAAGATCTGTTTCTAGTCTTAGTAGATCTGATAGTTCTAAGCTTCAGGCCGTCCACAATAAGCTTGAGTTGATTAGATCAATGCAAATAAAAACTGAGCAGAAAGTGAAGGATGTTGAAAAGGATCATGTTAAGGCTGCTAAAAAGCCTGAGTCAACAACTATTACAGAATTAGCTACTAAATGTAAAGCCGTCCAAGATGAAATTGAAAAGGCAGAAAGTGATATTAGATCAAATCAACTCCATCAGAAGGTAGCTGATACTACTAAGGAACCGTTGCGAAGAATCGAAATCCAAAAACAAATTGTCGAGAAGGTAAAAGAACTAGTACCAAAATCAAATATGAGTCCACACGAGAAACAGACCATTCAGGCCGATTTGAAAACTCAGGAGAAAAGGTTGGAAGAGCTACAGAAGAAGGTTCAACAGCTCAAAGAAGAAGAATCTCGACAGAGAACTAGCTCATCTCAGAAGTCAAAGTCGAATCAATCTTCTCAAAGTGGACCTTCTGTCGGTTCTAGGCAGGAAGACAAACAACAAGATAGTGGAGGTCGGCAGAGGGAGGACAGTTCGAGGAACAGTCGTGGTGCTAACGTGAAATCTGAACAGATATCTCAAAGGTCGCAAAAGGAATCTGCAGAACAGGGGTCTGAGAAATCCTCTGACGATCAACAAAAGAAGTCCAAGAGTGTACAACAACCAAGTCGCGTTGATTCCCAACAAAGCCGTGATCAAAGTTCGTCTAAAGAGCAATCAAGCGGTCAGCAATCAGATAGAAGCCAAAGCGTTCGTCAGAAACAAAAGTCAAGGAGTCGAGCCAAGTCGTCTGCACTTGGAGATTTAGAAGCAGAAACTGACAGAGAAATGTGTATATCGATAAAGGCACAGTACGGGGCCGAAGGTGAAAAAAGGAAAAGTTTCGAAGTTCAGGTATTTTTTATGAAATACACTTTTAATTTCTTTGTTACTAAAATTTGCTATTTGCCACATGGTTTTTTTTTTACTTTGAATCGATACAAAATTGAATATAAAATGTTCCATTGAAGATTCTAGGAACACCTTCGTTAGAGCAGTTATTATGGGAAAGGGCACAGAAATCGCCACTAGATAGAAGCAGTGTAACAAAAAAATATCTGAGGGAAATTAGAGATGGGTCTGAAGAAGTGACGTCAGCTTATCTTAAACTCAGCTCAGAGATGAACATGATTCGTCACCTGCACGTCCGTGTACATTATGAAAGGGTAATAAATTATTCTTAAAAATAGTGTAGAATCATTAAAATTTGTGAGGCCATTTTTCGTGGGTTTCTTAGATTTTATAGGTTCGTGTGTTCATGCGTTAAAATTTCTACGAAAGGAAAGATGACTCTCAGACTGAAACATAAGTTTCTCAATTTGTGAAAGATGTTAATTTATGGATACCCACAAATTCCATGAACATTGAGTCATCACAAGGAGAGACATTCCAATTTTGTATACTTTTTTCATTTGTAGGAAGGAATACCTCATAGTTTAGAAGAATTTGCTTGGTGGTCACATGAAGCAATGAAAGCAATAATGTATCGACATTTATTCACAAAGTATCCTCACTCCTTCTGTCCTAAAGACAGATTGGAAATTCTTCTTAATTTCAGGAGAAACAATAGACAAGTAAGATAACAATCATCCGGGGCATTCAATAGACTAAACTCAAACGAGTTTCAATTTCACGCATTAAATATTTTCACAGAGCTGAAAGATTTTTTTTGTATTTTCCTTAGTTTGATGCAGAATTTAAACTTCCCGAAGAGTCCAACTTTTTGAGAGGAATTGCCATTCCATATTTCGGACCATTCTTGTTTGAATCTGTGAAAGGTATCAGGGATGGGGTTCGACGTCCCCTACAAAAGACAATGTCTAGCATTACTAGCCGTCTTCCAGGTCAGAACTTTCTCTTATATATTATGATTCGTAAAAATTTTCAGTCTTATAACTGCTATCAGAAAAATAAACTTATATTTCTCTAGGACAATGCGAGGTGAAACAAAATCGGATTAGAACAATGGATGGGAGAGAATACAGCATACCAGACACAAAGGATTGCGAAGTCATTTTGTCCATGGATTGTTCTTCTGCTAAGCAGTTCGCCATTAAATACAGAAAGGACTCATCCGATCCCTCAAAAAGAGTGTGTATGAAAGGAATAAAAATATTATTTAAAGACTATAATGCTTTACATTGCGTATTACTTCGTAAGAAATCCTTTATACATTTCACGAATATCTTTTTTTTTCCTTCGCAGGTTGTTGAGGTTCATCTTGAAGGTAAACGCATAGAGACTGTTCCAGTGGCCTCATCTTTAGAGGTTAAAGTAGACGGCAAAAAACAAGACGTTCCAGCTGACTCCGCAATCAGCGTTAAAGAAGCATCATCCGTGAGCAGGTACCAAATATCTTCCTTTCCTAATCTGTAATCTATCATTTAGAAACTGTCTATATCTGTATTTTTTTTTCATCCTTTCTACTTCAGCAGCGAAGCTTCCAGAATAGAAATTAGACGTCAACAAAATAAGGTTTCCGTATCGTCATCAAGAAAAGGAGTACAGGTTACATCGGACGGTCAGAAAATATCCATCAAGGTTAGTCTTAAGAATACGCATTTAATTGTTGTGTTTGAATCTTTTTACAATTTGATGATGTTGATTTTGATGACATACATTTTAACGTTTATTCGTTTGATGTTGCTGGCATGTCATTGTTCACTTTGCCCGCATGGTCTCTTTTTCAGATGACCCCGTTTTACTACTCTCAAGTTTGCGGTCTCTGTGGAAACTATGACGGAAAGCAAGGAAATGATTATCAAAGTCCGCAGAGAGTTGATCGATCCGATCCCAGTTGTTTGGTTCTTGATTATTTAATCCCTGACAGTAAATGTGATTCTGGAAGTGTACAGAAGAAATGCAATGAGCATCAGAATTCGTCATCACCATGTGAGTGTCCTTTCAAAAGTTTCAAAATTTTCAGACCATAAATATCGATCTGCATCATGAAATCTATGAATAAGTTAATTCAAGATTAACTTAATTTGATGAAGTTTTTTTTCCCCACAGCACGATGTCAATTAAAACCTGAAACTGTTCTACGAACACGTTTAAACAAAGGCGTATCCCAGCTTTGTTTCTCCCAGAATCCCGTGAAGAGCTGTCCATCCCAATGTAAACAAAACGATCCCAAATCTAAGGCCGTCCCCATGGTATGTTATGAGCATGACAGTGTCAAAGCCCAGGCATTGAAGAAAGCCAGCTACAAGGGCCCTGTATCGGAGCTGAAGTCGCACCAAGCCGATTACTCGGAATACGTGCAGGAACCCACGAGTTGTGGAGAAATATAAATTTCTCTCGGACTTTTTGACACTCCTTTTCCTATATCTAATTATGCACGCAATACAAAATGAGCGATTATATATAGGGCATGGACGATGTATCATATCAAAAAGATTTTTGACCGCTGAGGTTTTATAATCACTTGCGAGTATATGAACATGTACATTATTTAGTGTAGATTGTGGTCTTCATGGTAACGGGTTTTCTAGTCTATAGTTATTGTGCAGCAGATTGTTGCTATTACCATTGTATTCTGTGTATTGTGAATAAAAATGCATGCAGCAGTTAAAATTCTAATCAAGTCTTACCTTATGAACAAGTTACAAATTTCTTGAGTACGAGTATTCTTGCTTCACTCTGTCGACTTCTACCCGAAGATGACGTTAGTGTGAAATACATATAAAAAGAAATGGACTTACCCCATGACATCTTTATTGAAGGGTTATCATTCATTCTCCGCAAAATCAACCTCATCATCAATCACATTCCTTATTAAAATGATTTTGTACTTTCCAGCTAAGTAGGACAAGTCCTGAAAAGGATATTCCTAAAATGTAAGATTTAAATTCATACTATTTGACTTATTCGAAACAAAATCATGCACGAAAATTATTTCATGCTTTTTCCTCCTGTTTCGGGGTTAAATTAAACACTTATCTCAATGAAAAATTGATTACGTTTTGATATTTTCTAATGCATTAATCTGAATGCATGTATATACATACAAGCTTTAATGCAAACAAAATTAATGTTTAAAATTTCTGTTCAAATGCAAAAGACACGAAAGATAATACCTGGTACATATATTTTTATTTTCTGTTATCTTTAAAATCTTTTCTGACATGAGGAGGTTTTTCAAACCCAAAGGGCAACAGTGCCTGTTAATGAAATATATACATCAGAGATGGGATCAACATCTTCGCTAACCAAGTGTTTCTGATACGCTACTCACCTCATAAAGCCTTGGTCTACTGTGTTAATAAAGTTGGGATGGAGTGGATCGACAGTGATCGTCCAATCAGCATTTTTTCTTAAAATGATCAGCGTTTCGGGATCTATTTTGACTCTTTACTCTCGGAAATGACAACTACCTAATGCCATTCACAGGCACCTGACGTTACTTATTTTTCTTTCAATAAAAAATATATATCCAGGTATGGGTATATTTTTTAATTAAAAGAAAAATAAGTAACGTCAGGTGCCTGTGATGCCATTTTATGAATAGGTATGATGCTATCCAACATTAATTTGCATTTTAAATAGAAAATGAACATAAATCAATACCTTCTTGTTAATAATTCTTTTATAAAATGATCGAAATACCCTATTTATTTATGTAAATGACGCAATTTGTGCACACACGTACCTGTTAAAATTAGAGTTCACGTGACGAAAACAATCCCATAAGCCAAAAATTTATGAGGAGAGTAACGTATTGGAACCCCTTGGCAAGCGAAGATGTGGGATCAGGTGCCAGAGGAGTGAGTAACCCCAGCCGACCGGCCTTGTGCTCCTTGTCATGATCGGGAAATAACGGAAAAATCCGCCGTCAATTAAGTGTGTAAATGATGACAATTAGTATGAAAAAGGTCAGTTAGCTTTTGATTAAATGATAGATTGTATTTGCTGAGGTCATTGTATCGACCGAGGAACCTACGAAATGATGACTTTAAACGAGACTTCTGATTTTTTTTTTTTTTTGGTTTCATCAACTTGTTTTTCAATAAGTGACCTAGCTGCAGATCTGTAGCGTTATGGGTTTTTTTTAATTTTGTCTTTGACCATATTGCTACAGATCCTGCAAGGCAAAAAAAAGTGCAATTTACGGCGCAATATTTTTTTTGGGGAGAATTTCTCTACTTTCTAGCATTGGTCAATCAACTACCTTTCACTCCCTAATTCTAGACACACTTTGTGGCCAATATGTCTATTTTATCCACCTCCCAACAATTTATAGTGTCTCTACAGGCAATAAACTCGCTTGAAGTGAATTTTCAGCAATCTAACAAATCATTTTAATCAAGCGAGTTTATCACTTGTAAAGACGACTATAAAGGATTGCGAGATGGATAAAATAAACATATTTGTTAAATAATGTGCCTAGAATTAGGGAGTGAAAGGTAGTTAAATGACCGATGCTGGAAAGTGGAGAAATTCTCCCCCAAAGTGCGCAAAAAATATTGCACCGTATATTGCACCTTTTTTGCATTACGGGATCTACAGATCTGCAGCTGTAACTGGCCTGATTTTAGAAATTGTTCATACGTAGAGCACCCTTTGTATTTCGAATCAACTGAGAAATACAGTATAATCATAGTATGCAGGTGATGAAGATATATTGATGCATAAGTGAAGGAAATTGAAAAGTTTAAGTCATCGCGTTTATCATAAAGCTTAGTTGTTACATAACCATCAACGTCTTTTTCGAGTAAAATAAATACCCAAATATGTCAGGCTTTGTGGTATCTTTTATTCCAAACTCACCGAGATATATCGTATCGACATAAAAAATGAAAATACATTAGTTTGGAAACTAAAACCAACTCACCAGTCAAGTTCCTCCGTGCTCGATGGTTAGATCTGTGCAGAGTTTAACAAACTGAACACACCAATGAAAATAACAGAGCGTGTGCCCTGTTTACAATAACATTTACGTTTCACTGGGTGTGTTCAATTAGTAGAACTCAGCACGCATCACTGAACAAGGAATGAAAGTACTGGTGAGTTGGATTTGCTTTTTCACATTTCTACTCTGAATTTTCTGGATTATAGTTTTAATATTCTTCATTAATATACAACAAAACTTCTACTTTTCATAAGTATTAAGGATAAAGTTTACGTTATGAAAATGCGAGAAGTGATAATCAAACACGTCCCGAAATTAGTGGTTTCAAATATTTCCAGATAAAATGTTTTTTATTATATTTTCGTGGAAAATGCTATAGCAACATATAATTCATGATATCATAGAAAAAATTTAGAAAATATTAACTTCAAATTTGTGTCTAAGCCCCTTCAATTTTTTCCCGTAAAAAGAAGGGTTGAAAATTGTCATATTCACAAATAAATATCAGCATGTAAAGATTAAACCTTGTATATATTATGGTACCGGATTTAAGGTGGGATCACCGTAGGAGGTAACAGTTACATGGCAATGAAGAGTAGAGGTAACAAACAGTGTTCAAGCTTACAAGTCCAGCAAACACGGACCTCTTACACTTCAGAGGTGGGATCAGATGCCACGGAGGAGTGAGCATCCCCTGCTGATCGGTCACACTTGTCATGATCGGACAAACGGAAAAACCTATAGACATTGCAATATGTAAAAAACGATATGATAACTGGCAAAAAAAAACCAACGAGCCAATCAGCATTCGACTTCACGATAGATTATCCTTACTGACCAGGTCAGTGTATAGACCATAGAACTTGTAAAATAACGAGTTTAAATGAGACTGTTGATATCCTTGATTAATCAACTTGTTTGTAAATAGACTCTGTTTAGAAATTGTTCATAAGTAGAGCATAAACTCCATATGCAGGAAGCGAAAAATTTAAAATATTCCTCCAAAGATCAAAGGTCTGAATTATTTTATTTGCTTCATTTTGATATACAAACCTTCCCATGTGAAGATTGTTTGACTTGGGAATACATATGTGAAAAAAAATTTTGATGCGCAAGAGTTTCCGATTCAAGGTTGTTCACATCATTGCTCCTAGGGCTGAGGGGTGATCAACTAGTGGTCACAACATTTTCATGTATTATACTTTCATGTAAATTAGTTGAATCTGATTGGTCGAGAAACATTTGTTAAAAACACCATTACCCGCTGAATAATGAAGCGATGCTCTCCAGCGTAGCAACAGTCAACAGTGCTTGACGACGGGTGATATTAAAAAAAATTGCGACTTTGCAGAATTTATGCACACATGGTTCACTGTTATATGTACTTGTATAAAACATTCAGTATAATATAATAAATATTGCATGTAGTTGAGTGTAACATTTAAAATTTTCACCCCTCGAAAACCAATGTCAACCTGGGGTGTGCCTCTGTTGACAATGGTTTTCTTGGGGTGAAAATTTTCCATGTTACACTCAACTAGATGCAATAATCATATAAGAATATACATGTATCGAGAAATCTTCAAGATTTGAAGGAAACTCAGTTGTTTTTATCTAGCATGTTATGTGTGAAGTCCGATTTTAACGAGATCGATTCATGTCAATATGCATTTTATTGTAAAAATACGAGTAACAAAAACATTTCAAATAATTTATTAATAACAAGGTTTGTGATGCTTTTGTTTTTAAATAAACATCACTTTCATAATCATACCAAAAAGTCTTTTGGTACAAACCACTATTTCAATAGGCTTTTCAAACAAACTTTTCATTAATATTTATAATTACCAGTAATAATTAAAATCATGTCATCACAAGCAAATCCAGGTTGCACAGTCTTGACCAAAACTAGAGAACAAGCATGAAATTGGAGTGCTTCATCATCCAAATTCCTGAACAGTAAATATCTGGATGCAATACTGAAAATGACGATAGGCTGCTGCCAATCTGAGAGGCTGTGTATTCTGACTACATGGTCCTCCAGTCCAATGTCATGATAACTTCAGTCCTTGAAGATTTTTCTGTAGGTTTAGCTTTTCCTTTGTCTGTCTTACTTTCTCTTCACTGAATGCTTGTTTGTTGGCTTTCTTTTCCATTCTTCTCTCCTAAATTAGTATAATAATTCTTCTTTATTTTATTTGCTCCTAATTTAGGGTTAGTATAAAATTTGAATCCTTGAAAAATCCATAGTACAGAAAAACTTGGCTAATTTGTTTTCTTTGTTAACTAATAATTTTCTATTAGATCAAAAACCTTTCTCAAGAAAGTGAATGCCATATTAATTAAAGGCAGTCTGAATTCTAACAATAATTGAACTGAAGCATTGATGAACATCCAAATAAATCTGATTACCATTCTCTCTAGCTTGACTGCCTGTTTTCTCTGTTTGCGTTCCTCTGTCGTCTCCTTCGGCGGTCGGTACGTACTGGCTTTATCGGCCCGCCGACTCTCCCTCATCTCCTGCTCAATCTGTTTACGTGTCAGTCCCGGCTGTTCTAGCACACCCTCCGGGATCTTCAGCCTAGACGTCAGCTTGATTTTATTATCCTGCAAAATTTACACTTAATGAGTTATTGTGAAAATAATTTTACCAGTAGTTTTAATACTGTGCTACAATTTTTATAACAAACATGTAGGTGTCTGAATTCACCTTTGCATACAAGTGTAAGTATGAATTAGCTTATCAAAAATGGTGTACATGTATCTATTGTATAAGTTGAAGCCTTAAATGTAAAAATTTTCACATAAAAATGAAGGTCTTTATATTATAAATACCTTTTTTGGCTCCTCTATTAACTTGGGATGGTTATATAAATTTGAATATGTACCTGTTAAGAAAAAAAAGGACATATACATATGATACATGCAATCTTATTGGAGTAGAACTAAAAATATGAACAGATTTTCTCCAAATTGTATTAGTTTTGAGACCTAGTCTTTTGTGTAGAACAAATCAAAATAAAATGCATAAATCTCTGTTTTTTAGTTAACAAAATCAGTATTAATAGAAATCTGTCGATAAGACTCACTGATAATGGATTCACAGTCCCATTTCTCCTTGGGTTTTTTTATCACCATTTGTACAAGGTCAGCCTCATTCTCAGATTCCTCCTCACTTTTGACCTCTATTCCAAGGTCATCTGGACGTTCATCATCCATCATGGAATGCAAGTTTCTGCGGCTGTTACAGTAAAAAACAGTTGCTTTATTTACGTAATTTTTTATCATATGTCTAAGATTACATATTTTTCACAAAAATGTCTTATACATGTAAAGTTGTACATTGTATAGCTTTACAAGGGACAGCAAACCTTAGAATTTTGAACATATTAATAAATAGAAAGTTTTCAATTTCTTAGTATTTCAGAATCTTGATTTCTGCATCTTTGCAACCAAAATTACCAAAAATATATAATCCAAGCATCCATTTTTTGTTTTTATCATCTGTCCTTAAATAAGTAAACCGAATGTACTCGCCTATTAGTAAGTTTTTTGGGAGTTGAATTTTGGTCCAAAACTCATTGTCCAACTTATAGGCGAGTCATTGAAAAATTGGCATTTTTCTGGACGACGAAATGTGGTTTTATAAGATTATAAATAAAGTACAAGTATTTATGAATTTTTATAGTTTTATTTTATCTTCAGTGTGCATTACTTATTTTATTTTAATGATTTGGAACAAAAATTGACCTCATGTTTGAAAAATATTAGTTTAAACCTTACTGAACACCACAGTATTGATTTAAAATTGTCAACAAATTCTGGCAAAAAGTTGTACCGACTTATAAGCGGGTCAATGGTAAATCCCTCCAAAATAGCTGCAAAAATCACAACCGACTTATAGGCGGACTGATTTACAGGCGAATACTGTATACAGGGTTATTTTCGCCCCGTATTATTTTTGCCTTTTTGAACTTGTGAAAAATTTTGCCCCGTTTTAAATTCGCCCAGTCATAGTTCTGTTTAAGAAATGATGAGGTATAATTTGAATTCGCCCCGTTTTAAATTCGCCCAATCAAGGAGAGGGCGAAAGGGACGAAAATAAAACAGGGGCGAAAATTTCCCTGTATACAGTATATACCGTAAATCTCAATTTACGTGGTTAGTACTCATTTTCACTTTGCTTTGTTATCTCACTTTCTATCTCAAAACAGAGACAAAAGCATCACATTTTCTCACTTTTCTTCTTGCTGTTTTTCAAAATCCTCCAGAATTGTGTCCAGCATATGGCTGCCTTGTTGAACATATCCATCAACATCTTCATTGTCAAGAGCACCAATTTCTGTGTCTTCATATTGCTCATACAACTGATGAATTCATTATTGTTCATATATCAACAGCAAGATACAATGTATATACAGTGTATTAGGCACTTATCTTTCTGCATGATATAGATACAATCTTTGCACAAAAGTTTATGGCTAGAGCTTTAAACAATAAGATATGGTAATATTTTTTGTTTTCAAAAGAACTGCTCTTTTTTTAAATAAATTTATTGAATATGAAAATCCTATTAAGGACATCATTAACTTTTCATAAGCAATATTACTTCATTAAAACATATTCATCAAAATCAAAATTTTTTACTAACTTAAAATCTTCATTATGAAGTCATACAAAAGAGAAAATTGTCCTTAAAATGAAGTGATGAAAAGATCGTCTAAAGCTCTTTTCATTTAAAATAAGATAATTTCAAAGTTACTCTTCACACTTCCTTAAATTTTTTGCGGACTTTTTTGTGCTCCCTTCTTTGTTGGTACTTGGAAATAAACCATCATGGCATTACTTACCTTTTCGAATCTATCATCCAACAAAGTTAACCCCTCATTTCTCCTAATTACTGATGAAGACATGGAGTAATTAGTAAATCGAGACTTTGTTTCTTCCTCCATGAACATCCTCCCTCTGTCATCACTTCCGAAGTCATCATCAGACATTTCACATTCATCAGAACCAAAGTCAACATCAGATCCAACATCCCTGAAGCAAAATAATTCATGCTGGATTAAAATACTAATCCATTCTTTTCAAGGACAACCAAAATATCTTTTGAGAATTTCATTTCAGAAATATATGCCTAACACTGATTACTCTATTAGACATAAAATTTATGAGTCAGACTTAGTCAGATCTAGCACCTACTCCTCATATCCCCCACCCTCCTCAAATCCAGGACCCTCCCCGGCATTGGCTATCGCCATGAAGTCGTCCTCCAGCTGGTTTTCTGGATCATCATAATCAAAATCCTCATCTAGTGCTGCCACTATGTCTGGATCCCAGTCTGGCCTGGGGCCTACAATAAAAATTTACCAAGATGTCAAATTAATTGACATTATTTTTAGACTCTGAGCATCAATCAATATGACATGAAACATTTAGACCCTCTCTATATTTGAAATGCTTGCCTTTAATGCATCCATCATACATAACAATAAGTATATCCTTTACAAAAGAGTCACACGAGATATGAGAGAAGGCTGTAATACTGTTGATACCCACCTCTGACAGGAACTGCCTCATTAAGGAGTCCTACATCTTTTTCAAGGTCAGAAGCAAACACAGAGGAAGGAAGACTGATCTTGGCATTCTGAAATCAAGTATTAAACAGGTAAAATATAACATCAGCTGGAAAACTAAATATTCAGCAAGGGTTCAGTTGATGCTTTGAACAATTCTAATCTCTTTCCTAAATAGTGGTTTGTGCTTTTACTTTATTGCATTTTACTCTGATATGTTATGATAACATTGTTAGCACTATGTATCATTTTATCAATACTTGGCAAAAAAACAAACAAAATGTTTTAATTTATAGATCATTTCACCACACCTTTTCTTCCCTGGGAACAGCTTCCTCTAACTCATACACTTGATTCAAATCTTTTAAATGTTGTAAATAGTCATAATCATCATCATAAAATATGCCATATTTGTGCTGCTCCTCCTGCTTCTCTTCTCGGCTTAATTCCTGGGTCAGAAATAAATCAGAAGTTCATTTTATAATTAAGTGCACATTGAACATGTAATATTCATCAACGCATCTGCAATAAGGAGCTCATAATTTGCAAAGTGCAAAAACTTTGAACAGTCCTAGTAAAATAAACTGTAGAAAGCTAAAGGCACTCACTTTTTTCTCTACAGGCAGTAAGACATGCTTGGATGATTCCTCCTTGGCTTGCAGTGGATCTCTCTGACTTCTGTGTACCAAATGGAAAGTCACTGCATTTTTCTTGTCGATGAACTTTTTACTTTTGGCAGGCTGCAAATATTTCAGTATGATTGAAACAAATTTCATACATTATTTGATGATGCATGTATTTTTGGACGAAGTATTTTAGATTGCTTGACCATGACAGTCTTCACGAAAACTCACTGGTCCGAAGACCGAGGCCAGTGAATTTTGATGTCGGGTCAGTGAAAATCAAAATTCAAGAAGTCCGATGGGCTTGTTGATTATAAAAACCATACACAGTCAATATATATCTTAACTGACTTGCTTGCATAAATTTCATTGATATATAATATAAAAAGAACAAGCACGTGTTGTTGAATCTTATTATTGTAACCTTATTATAACATGGATGTATTACGTAACAACTGGAACTTGCTAGTAACTATTAACTAGTACATAAAATGTGCGAATTTCCAACAAACAACCTACCGAAACGCGACAAAGGACGAAAAATGGCGACATTCAAAAGTTGAAGTACGTAAACATGTATAAATTTACAGTTATGAAAATGCATTTATTTTATTTTTTAATTAAGGGGCCAGTTAAAATTTTGGTGGGCCAGTAAATTTTGAAAGTTCACTGGTCCGACTGGTCTGTTAGTTTGAAAAATTTTCGTGAAGACTGCCATGATGATGATTCTCAATTAATACTTCTAATTGTCAGTATTTGAATATAAGCATGTCCTATCAACCAAAGTGTCTTACTGTTATTGGAATGATATTATTACACTGTACATTTCAATGTAATTTAATCTAGATCAAGATTACTTTATCTGCATCAAAATGTCACAACATCCAAACTTTGTGTGTAGTGTACAGAGGGCTCCTGAAGGGTTCGATGAATTGATATTTTTTTTAATCAATATTTTATTATGTTAAGTCATATTACATAATTGGATTAGATAATAGGATTACATAATTAGAATTGATACTTTAATATACTGTTTGCAATAACTGATCAGATACAGCTGTTCCCTGTGGTATATCCCCCAAAAGGGCGCAATTTGCAAAAGTGTAACAGCACATTTGGAAAACAACACACAACACATCTTTATACTTACACACAATACACCTTAACGTTATCGCAACTTTTTAAAACACACACATGCCTTACACAGGACATGCTGTCACACTAACACAAAATTGCTCAACACAACATTGCACTAGCACCAACACTCCATTACGCTACTACAACTTTACACAATCTATTGTATGATAGCACAACATGTAAGTGTCATAGGGTGTGTGTAAAAGTGTGACGGTGTTGTTGCTTTAGTGTGATGGCTTCCTGTATGTTAGCAACAGTGTGAACCATAAGAAATAGAAATGTGTTGTCACTTTGCACTAGCTAGCATGTCGGTGCTGTTACACTGAACATTTGCAAATGGCCCTCTCAGAACACTATAGTTGTGCCCTACATTGTGACATTTCTTTCTCATTGGCAGATCCAATATCTTAGTCAAAATATCTTAGTCAACATTCCACATCTACACCATTTTTTGACTGCTCAATAAAACATTGGAAATGTAAAGTTGGATTAGTCTAGGTATAAATAAGAAACAATTCCTAAAGCTATTGATTTTAAAAGTTATAACAATAAATTTCTTATTATAGCAAACTATCAATATTCTGTTTATCATCATCATCTAAGGACTACCTACCATTTTAATCACCTTTAACAGAACATATTTACTTTCATCTACTGATCCACATGGTGTAATCTTAAACAGGATATGACGTTTAGTGTTTATTTTTAGAATGCTTACATAAATTCAGAGGTTTTCCGAACAGATTAGCAGAATCAATGAACCAATGAATAGACGTCTTTCCGCCTAAGCAAAACCCTGCCATCTATGGTTTCTAACAGTCAAGGGAAGTAATCAAGTGAAAAAATAGATCCTATTGTTCGATTCTGAGTTTTCGGTATAAAAAATCGTTCAAAACATATTACCTTTCATTAAAGGATGAGTTTAACAGTGATGTCGCATGGAACAAGTGAAATATATTTTGGAAATGAGATTTTATTATATGTTTACGTCATCAGTGGCAAAACAATCAGTCACGTGACAAGCACCTTGCGCACAATTTTATTCGAGGCAGTAGTTCGTCATTGTACGTCACGCCAGTACAGAGAGGCTTCCCAGATGCCAGTGCGCTCTGAGCATTTGCACAATGTATGGAAGTCCGCCATTGCGGTGGGACAACATCGGTCAGAGAGCTGGCTGAAATTCGAAAATTGGGGAGCTTTAGGGCATCCCAATGCAGCACACTGCCCAAGAACTAAAAGAAAAGCTGCTGGAGGCTCTTGATGATGATAACAATGTAAGAAATTCGCCGCAAACGTCAATAATTAGGGAAAACTCCATCTTGTTCGTGACTTTCATAGGTGTTTGTTATGGGACAAAAGTTTCAGACAAACTTTAGATACTTGTCTGCTCTTTTTGCACCAATAAATCATCGTAAATGTTATCTCTATTCAGTTATAGACATAATAATAATGACTGATTTATTTTTGTAATCAGAAGATTGTTTTAGATAAACAAAATGGCAGGAATTACGTTTTTTAGTGGAAAGTTGGATAACTGGATAAAAAAATATATAGATACTATACAATGTGCATTAGAATACTACTTAGTAAAGTATTTATTTTTTAATCACATTTTAAAGAGAGAAACGTGAAAATATTGTGTAGAAAGTTCATAAATTCTTGTAAACAGAAAATGGAAATGATGTGGAAAAAAAATCAATAAACTGCATAAATAAAGTAATTTGACTATATGTATGTACTTGAATCAGGGTCTGCTTGCCTAGATTCATGATCAGACTGGTGTATGTTCACCCAGATGTTTAGTGGTCCTTGATCTAGCTGCAGATCTGTAGCTCCCTCGTCTGAAAAAAACTAGGATGGGCAACCAGAGAGCTGGTGTCACCCACTGAAAAAAGTGTGCCATTTCTCGATATTTTTCAGCATATATTTTGAAATATTATTAACTGCATATTCTTTTACCACAACAAAACCACTTAAGTCACAGAGTCATGCACATAGTGCGTTGGACCGAATTATCTTGCCACCTAAATATGGCAGTATAAACAGGCAAAATTTTCAGTGTCTCAATACGTGAGTTTCGAGATTGTAACTCTCCTGCGATAGAGGCGCAAAAAGTATCCATTTCAGCATGGAGGTGGGACAGTTTGTTTATGTACAAACGTGCATAAATAAATGAACGATGTTTAGGCTTTTAAAATTTATTTAATGTTATAGAAAGATAAAATGTTAAGCAGTGATGCATTTATGATTTTATCAAGCTCAATTGTGTATATTTACATATCTACTTTCAATTATAGGATACTTGAAAACGAAATAAACGTCGTGGTCTGTATAAAAAGTAAATGACTTTCTTGATTGTACAAACATTCTTTAAAAAGTTAGTGGGTTTCTTGAAGTTATAATAAGGTAAAAAATCAATGTGTCATTTAGATTGCCGACTTGTAATGATCAGATTCATATTTTACCGTATTTATTAGAGGTCCATATATCTCTTTCCTCGTGTGAAAAGTCTCACATCCATTGAATTTTCTTTTTTTTGTTCCGATTTTTTTGCTTTAAAAAATGACACCTTTACTATAATTCGGTTATTCTCGAGTTGAGCAGTGCATCCTTACAATTATTTAGTTACGATAAACCAGTATATCGATGATGCGATATATCCAATAATAAATATCTGTCCCACCTGTTTGTTTACGCGGCAACAAAACTCCCCTCCTCAACGAAAGAGCGCACCAAGGGAGATAATCTCGAAACTTGCGTATTTCAGGCCTAGACGTGCTATAAATACTCGTTTTAGGAAATATTTTGGTGTGAAAGTTCCAAAAGAATATGCTAGGTATTTTGGTGTGAGGCCATGCCAAGTTTTTCCTATGTTTAGCGTCCGTGTGCGCCTTGGTTTTTGACACCCCATATAAGAAAAAACACACAACATCAGGAGTCCTGAAATTGATTAATTTAGTCGAAATTTTTGAATTTTGTCAATTTCTCCAAATAATTATGTACAGTAAGTTATATTGGGTGTATTTTAAGCATTTAATTGTTGTTGTGAATGATATTTCTTCTATCAAAGCAGTTTAGTTAGATCAAATCATTTGAAGGGCATCATTTTTATGACTTTTAATATGCGAATAGGTAGGTAGGTTTTTGAAAGATGGGTGGACGCTAAACAGAGAAAAAACTTGGAATGGCCTGACTGAAAGTTCTAAAAGAATATGCTAGGAACACATGGTCAGTAAAATTTTAAAATGGTAGAATATATAAAGACAGAAGTAAATCAAGAAACATTAAACTCTTGTGTGTGAAAAAAAATATACATTTTTTTCCAGTAGATGACACTGGGTCTCTGGTCGTCCATCCTAATTTTTTCAGACCAGGGAGCTACATATCTGCGACTATCCTGGATCCGATGTCCAAATCCCATTTACTCTCCTTTAAATATGGATAATATTTGATAAACAGTTTTATTGATGAGAAAGTTATAAGCAATTTGTGAGAGTGACACTGAAATTCTGTATGATTATACTGTGCAAAAGAGTAATTTTAAAATTGTTATTCTGAAATCAACTAGTTAATCTCAAGTTAATTTTGAGGGAAATAAACTTGCAGTCATGGGGACTACCTTTATTTTGAAATGATTCTTCGTCATGTAAAAGCAAGATTCAGGGGGTGAAATACTGTATACAGGGTTATTTTCGCCCCGTTTAATTTAATTTCACACTTGGTAACAATTTTGCCCCTTTTTAAATTCGCCCAATCATAGTTTTATTAAAAAAATATACTGTATTATTTCATTTCGCCCCGTTTTAAATTCGCTCAAATGATGGTAGGGCGAATGGGGCGAAAATAAAACGGGGACGAAAATTTCCCTGTATACATTGGATGTCTTGATTTAGGTGTAAGTTTTAGTCAAATGAAGGGAAGGGGTGCGGCTCTACCAAGAAGTTTCAGGGAAGGAGGCTGTAGATTATTTTTGGCATGGTGCATCTGTTGGAAACAATGAGATACAGTCCAACCACCTTTGCTCCTCGAATGTGCTCCCTATCTCCGTCATGCAATCAGGATTTCTTTTTATACGTTAATCCTACATCTGCTGCTCCACCTGGGCAGATGTTTTAGGAGATGAAAAGATAATATGAATGTCATAGCATAATTTGTTATTTGCTATGGCAATATTGGACCTAATATTTTTTGACATGGTGGCTTAGTTGAGAAAATGCTCATTTTATTGAAAAAGTCTCTGTTTTGTGCCCTGGCCTCAGCAAAATTTAATCTTAATAGGTAGCAACTGCGTTCTCTCCTAGTGCTTGACATGATAAGTGCAAGTTGCAGAGTAAAACCTTAAAAACTTGGGCCCCTTATCATGGCAGGCATTGGCAAAGAATCCTCCTTTCTCAGTGGCCCTGAAACCATGTTAAAGACTCAATTAAAAGTCCCTCATGGCATCTCTTGATGTTTCACATGAGTGAAAAAAAAAATTTGCAATGGATGTAAATTAGCCTGACATTTGATAAAGCTAAATTTTAAAAATGCATTTGAGATAGATATTTTTCTACTAAATGCTGTTTTGTTTTGTAGGTTATTGACATGGACGGAGTGTTGGCCGTCGTCACAAGACTGGAAACGTTCCCCATCACAAGAGATGTGCTGGAGGTAGGAAATATATCGCACACACAAATATTGTAAACTCAAGAAGTATTAATTTACCTGTCATTAAAGCATTTTATTTACTTTGATTAATAAAGAAAATGTGACTAGTTTTTAAGAGAGGCATCTATAACTGTGTAACACCAACATTTTATCTTTTGTTTTATAAATCATGTAAAGGTCACTAAAATATTTTTCTGGGATAGGGATTGGGGGGGGGTATTCTATGTTTTCCCTTTCAAAAGCAGGAAAAAAGAGATCCAATGCGTAATATCGCGAGTACCTCACAGTTATCTAACTTACTTTTGTGGGGGAGTCGAGAAAGCTTTAGATCTTGCCAGATTTCTGGGGCACATGACATTGTTTACAGTAGTAACAATTGAATGATTCGAACAATTTAATGCTGAAAGTACAGTGTATTGCGAAGGATTGAACTCCAAATAGTAGATTGTCAAATAAGGAAAGTTTAGAATATTTTATCAGCTTTAAAATGTGACTATTTTTAATGAAAATTTAATGAGAATGGTCCACTTAGTTAAAAATTTTGTTAAAAATGTAACATTTTAGGATAAGTTCCTCTCAAAAATTAAAGCAATATGAGCTGCAACTTTGATGTTGGAAATTTTTGTTGCAATATTGTTATTAACTATTTCAATGACATATTTCGTATTTGCGATGAAAGAAGTACTTACAAGCTGTAAAAGAAGCAAAATTACATTATTGTCGTCCTGTACAATATTGATTTCTAATATAATACTATACATTCCATTGTACGGACATCTTTCTTCTGAAAAAGATTTGATATTTTATTTTAGTCTAATTGATCACAAAGGTTTAAATTACATACAGATTTGTCATAACAGCATATTTTAACAGTAAAATAAAATACTTGCAAATGCAGCTCATATTGCTTTAATTAGGCTGATTCAGCTATTTATAAGCAAGGTATTCCACCAGGATTTTTTACTTATCTGTCCTTAATAAATTCTACAATGATCGATCTTGCATTGTATACAGTAGCACATTTGCCCCCATCCAACAGTCCTCCATCCTCCATCCTCCATCGTGAAAGAGTTTT